CCTTCTTTCCTCTCCTGATTATCTCCAAATCTTGTAGGAGGTCCAATCCCGCTGGCCGACTTCTAATGACTTCCAAAGCCTGACAACTAATCCACAGTTCTCTTTTGGAGAAGTGATCAAGTCCCTCACCTCATTAACAGCACATATAAAGGACATTTGGAGACTGGAAACAACCCGGATATTCTCAGCAGGTAAAAAGTGATGGGTGATTAACAAATTTGGTCCACAGAAGTGGTTGCCTTCAAAACAATTTTAGTTAAAGTATAAGACCCGTTTGTCATACTAATGTCCTACCCAAACAAGACTGTTTCACTGATGGATTGATACAAACCTGTTAACCACCGACTCCCAGAAGTTGCAGAGCAACCAGTCACTGACATACAGTAAGAACTGGTGGATTTCAGCATCTTTAGATAGCTTAATGTACCGCTGGTAAGTGAGCTGAAGTTGAAGTAGTTTCATATGGAATCTGTTCCTACCTGTAAAGAATCCACCGAAGACCCTAAAGGGATATGATATAAAAAAAATATTAAATTGGAGGAAAAGTTGCATTTCAATGCTTGTGCATTCTCTCACAAATGTTTTGCATGCCCCCAAAGAAACTTTGCATTCCCTCACAAAACTCCATGTAAAATTTCAAGGAAATGCAAAAGTTTTGTTGAGTGACCTCGAAGTTTATCAGGGGTACCAAAAAGCATTGAAACACAATAAAAAAATATTAAATTGGAGGAAAAGTTGCATTTCAATGCTTGTGCATTCTCTCACAAATGTTTTGCATGCCCCCAAAGAAACTTTGCATTCCCTCACAAAACTCCATGTAAAATTTCAAGGAAATGCAAAAGTTTTGTTGAGTGACCTCGAAGTTTATCAGGGGTACCAAAAAGCATTGAAACACAATTTTCCCTCTAATCTCATATCCATCTCCATGCCACTTTAGTAAATTGGTGGGCAAATCTGGCCCTCGAGGGCCACTGTCCTACAGAGTTTTAGCTCCAACCCTAACCAAACACCTGAAAAACCTAACCAAAGTGTTTACTCGAAATGTATAGGCAGGTGTATTTTATTAGGGTTGGGGCTAAACTCTGCAGGACAGTGGCCTTCAAAGGCCTGAGGGTCTTGCTTTAGGGAAGGTCTCTCCAAACTCGGCCCTGGAAGGCTGGTGTCCTGCAGAGTTTAGCTCCAACCCTAATTAAACACACCTGAACCAGCTAATCAAGGTCTTACACCAGGCATTCTAGAAACTTCCAGGCAGGTGTGTTGAGGTAAGTTGGAGCTAAACCCAGGGCCGAGTTTGGAGACCCCTGCCTAAGGGGCTCTGTATTACTCGACAGAACACTTTGGATTTACAAAATCCTACATGTGTCCAACCTCTTGTGAAAAGGTCTGCAGATTCCCAAGTAACCTATTCAAGTTTATTTGTATAGTGCGTTTCAGGTTGCAAAGCATCTTTGCAGAAAATGTTAAGTTTCTACCTGAATTATGTTTAACAGTAGGTTATTAGAGGTGACTATGGCAGAAATGTACAGTAAGAATCATGCAGTTAGTTACAAATTACACGTAATCAAACAGACAGTAAACCCTATTAACTGCAATGATTATATGTTGCAATTAAACGTTGTGATTAAGCAAAATTTGGTAGTTTTATATGTTGTTCCAGTGTTAGCATCATCTGAGGTCTTCTGGGGGGTTGGCATCATCTCTGGCATCGTAAGGGTTGGATCCAGACTAAAGCTTCTGTAATTCCTAGGTACCTTGGGATGCAAATCCCGTGGCAGATACAGAGAAGCAAATAGAGAAGAAATTAGCATAGCTGCTGTTCCAACAAAGCAAAGATGATGTGTTCAACCCAAGCAAAAGAATGAAAATGTGCATTTGCGCAGATATAGCTGAAGTACAAGGTTATGAGATACATTATGTGAATGCTTGGCTAGATGTCTTTAATCTAGATTTAAACAGAGCGAGTGTGTATAAACCCCGAACGTTATCAGGAAGGCTATTCCAGAGTTTGGGAGCCAAATACGAAAAAGCTCTACCTCCTTTAGTGGACTTTGCTATCTTAAGTACTACCAAGAGTCCAGAGTTTTGCAACCTTAGGGAGCGTGATGGATTGTAGCGTGATAGAAGACTAGTAATGTACGCAGGAGCTAGACCTTTAAGGGCCTTATAGGTAAGTAGTAATATTTTGTAAATGATGCGGAACTAAACAGGTCTAAACCAATCTGTTCTGTCACATCTCACGTCTCTTTAGTGACTGCAGAAAAGATCCTACTGCCACAAGAACCCAAGACGAGGGAGGACTTTATACAGTGTAAGTCATTCTACTTTACTTTAAACGGATGCCAAACTTCACTTTGAAGCCAAAGGTACAATAGGAAAATCCCAATCCCTAAAGATGCTTAGCCTTCATACTGGTTTGTTAGCTAAAGATACTTCATTCACATTAAGTTCTGTTTTACATTCTAAGACAACTTACCAAGTTGTGAAGACCCAAGTAAGTGCATAGACTGGTCTTGGGGTAAAGCTGGACTTTACTTGGGTTTTGCATTTTCACCTTGTTTCTCATTTCATCAGTTCTGGTTCCCTTGAGTCTGGACCCAAACACGGCCCACAGGAACCTTCGGTTAACAGAACAGAACCAGGCTGTGGCTTGCAGTATTGAGCCCCAATCATATCCAGAACATCCGGACCGCTTTGAGTCGTGGGCCCAGGTGCTGAGCAAGGAAGGTCTGACAGGTCGCTGCTACTGGGAGGTGGTCTGGAGCGGACAGTACGGCGTCGACCTCGCAGTGTCATACAAAGACATCAACAGAACTGGGCAAGGAGACGACAGTGGGTTTGGGTACAACAGGCACTCCTGGAGTCTGGACTGTTCCATGTTCAGATACGCACTAGTGCACAACAACGAGGAGACGGAGATCAGTGTACCCCTGTCCCACCGGATCGGGGTGTATCTGGACCACCGGGCAGGACAGCTGTCCTTCTACAGTGTCTCAGATACCATGATCCTCCTTCACAAAGTCCAGACCAGGTTCACTCAACCTCTTTATCCAGGATTTGGGCTCTTTCAGGGCTCAACTGC